TTAACCTTCCGTTAGTCGCGCACTTGTTTCCGACATGGTTAATCGCGTTGCACCTATGAGGTGTTTCTGATTTTTTGAAAGCCAAATGAAATTTAGTCTAGTTTAAATAGTTAATTGTTACCAATTTAAGACTCTTTAGAGAGATAAATATCAAAAAACTTATTTAGCGAAGTACCGAAGATAAATTTTTCTTGCTCCCGCGTCGGATCTCTTCCTCCATCACAAGATGTTCAACCAATTAACGCAAGAAGGTTCTGCGGTTTTTTACTCCGTAACCATTTTCTGTGTATATAACTTGACCATTTATACCTGCTACGTTGAGTAGGACTGAAAATGAGATAAAATATATATTTTTAATTCATAAAAATATTATATCCATAATACTTACGTCAATGGTCGCGCTGCACCTGAGGGGTGATTTGAGCGGTTCCAAGTCTCCTTCGGCATGTTCTAAAGTCGGTTTTGCACGGACATTTGAGTAATCCAAAGTTAGAAACATAACATTAGGCTCGACCCCCCGAAAAATCTATTGACGGCAAAGGAGGTGAAAGTGCAGTAGGGATGCACCTGTGAGGTGCGCGCGACTAACGGAAGGTTAAAGGATTTCACCATTAACACCTCATTACCATTAGTTATAGATTATGCTGAAAATGATTTTGTGAATTAATATGTAAAACCAGTAGGGTTGTTTTTAAAAAAATATAAATTTTAGTCCATAATACATATACTCTCTTCTCTCTATATAGGCAAAGCATTTAGGTATTATATTTGAAATTAATTATTGCCACAACAGGCATTGTTGCTTCTAGTAAAATAGAAGAGAATAATTTTTAAAATTGGTCTTAGATTAAGGTCCTTGAAAATTTTGTTGAGGTCCTTGAAAAGTCCTGGAAAGTCCTTGAATTTCAATCTCATCATAGAGTGGGAACCCTGTAATGCTTGATGGATAGCCAATGATCTGAGAGAAAATAAGAATTTGTTACTTCCCCGCCCTCAACTTGAACGAACTCCTCTTTACGCATATTTTCACTATATAAATAAGGAGAAAATTAATTTTTCTCCTCCACCTACTACTACCTTATTGAATGACTGGAATTTCTGCTTCTTGCTTGAATCGTTCTAGTTCAAAATGACGGAGAGAGCAAATAATATTTTCACAACTGTCAAATTTTTTTCGTTTTCTATATTTTACGAAATAATAATTTTTTTTCCAATATTATATTTTTTATTGATACAATATCATTCTAATACTAAAACATTATTGTCCGAAAAATAATATTTATTTATTTTTTGCTTCTTAGATTCAGATCGTTTATTTGATCCTTTTAAGCTTTGTTTACCTTGGGGGTCTATTATACGGAAAAATCTATTATCCAGACTTCCAGAAGTCCCACTGATTCCGGATACACGACTTTCCACTGTAATTAAATAAATAATTGCATTAGAATTAGTCAGTATAATTTTTTTTTTAAGAATGCAGGCAAATAAGTTATATATTTTGATGATTTCTTTACTTTAAGACAAATTTATAATCAAATAAATGTTGGTAAATAGATCTAACTTTGCATATAATTAAAACTTGTAAAATTTAAATTAGCCTTAGTGTCTTACAGCAAGTTTTAGCAATTTATTGTGATATGTTATTTATTAAAACTCTTAATAAGTTTTAAGCTTTAGCCCTTTGACATATCATTTCTTGATGCAGAAATTATCTTTGATTGCACTGTAATGAACAACTTGCAACGGAATGTTGACAGAGATGCCAACTGCTCCAAACACGTCAAAATAATTATTTAAAAAAAAAAAAAAAAAAAAAAAGGTAAATAACCAAAAATTAAATTTTGCAAATATTTGACTATTTTTGCTTGCTTTTTAAAAGGTATAGCCTGACATAACTACTAAAAAATTGCGATTTATATAAGCCTATGAATTATTTAGAAAAAGTGATGGATAAAAATCTACTAAATTGAATTTATTAAACCAAGAATCACAATTGATAAACTACTGCTTTAAAATATTTATTTGCTGTCTAGAGCAAATTGGCATCTCCGGGTTGAAGACATCTGGGACACGTCAATTGTTTTGACATAAGAAGCAAATGCATTATGCTTTGTATGTCAAGGGGTTAAACTTGTACATAGCACACTGTACGTAGATATATTAGTGGTGATTCTTCAATTTTGCAGATACTTTTTTTAATATTTATTGTAAGATAGAAAAAAGTAACGTGCACATAAAAAAAAAGTTTGCAGTGGGGGGGGATACAAAGCAGATGACATAATCATGATTTACGCAAGGTAGAAGAAAGTCAGCATTTGGGCCACTTAAACCCAAAGATTAGCGATCTAATCGGTAGCGATTGAGCCTACAATCAGCTGGGTTTTTTACAACTCAACTCGACTATCGTTTTACAACGAAAATAGACTATAAATAGTTAACTGATTTTATATATTTCATAACTTTTTTCTATTATCGAAAATACTATGAGCTTGCAGATACTTTTTGATTGTGTGTACAGATACATAATGTTTCTATCTTACTATGGTATGCATTATATATATTGGGAATTTACTTTTAGATTGATTTAAAGAAAATGCCACTTGGAAAGCTCTCTAAAAATCAAATAAAAAATGCTTACAAAGTCCTAGGAGAAGCACAAGAGGTAAATAATTTATCTCTTTATCCTTGTTTATAGCCTATTTCTTTCAGTGTTTTTATTCTAAGTATTTATTTTTATTTTTTAGATTATGCTTACTGGTGCTAATACAGCTAAAATAATAGATGTATCAAACAGATTTTATACACTTATACCTCATGATTTTGGAATGAAAAAACCAACACTATTAGATGATGAAGACTACATAAAGGTTAGTTCTGATATTTTCAGTGAATGCATTTTATCCGGAAAAGAAAATCCTTAAAAGGATTCTCTTAATTGATGATTTATTAAAATAAGAGGGTTCTGTTGAATGACCCCTTTTCCTTTTTGAAGTATAATAGAAAGCATAATATGTATGTATATGAAAGCGTAAAATGTATTTGTTGAATTGTGTTATATGATAATTAACGTCAATCTCATATACCACAATGTTTTCTTCTAGGTTGAATGACATTTTGAAAAATAAATGCTTAGTATGTTAAATTATATTTATAAGAAAAATAATAAATAAATGAAAGCGAGCAGAAGATAATTTGAACAGTTTTTCTTCTTTTTTCCCCTTATGATATGAAGAATTAGCATGCAGATGTAAGATAAAAATAATGTTAATAAATGACCATTTAAACAATAAATTAATCCAATTTTATAAGTTTAAAAAAAAAAAAAAACCTAAAGGAGCAGAATTAAGTAAATTTTTTATTGAACACATCTATAATTTAAAGTGAAATAAGTCCCCATTGCTGATATTCTTTTTAAACGCCATTAATATTCAGTTCCATTAATATTTATAGTTTATTTTTTGTCACTTTTGCTTTTTAACAACTTATGTAGTTTCATTTTTAGAAAGTATAAGTATTTAGCTATCAGAAAAACAGCGAGAAAAGTAAAAAAAAAAAAATTTTACTAGTGTTTTTGTTAGCAGATTGCAAAAGTAAGAAATATATATGTATATTTTTTTTAAATGTTAATTTTTAAAAAAAAAATTTTCTGATCATTAAAAAGTAGGAATTTTCTCTAGATTATTGCGCTAAAAAGAAAAAAATAAGCGCATAAATTTTATAAGGATGTGATTTGTTGTATTAAACAATTTTGTAAAATATTTGGAAGTTCACTGAAATAGTTAGCTCATTCAAAATAATAGTACTTTATAAAATATTTTCTGTATGCTCTGTACTCCCAATGTGGCATTTTACATTAAATTTGACCATAAACTTTCCAAAGAATTTTGTTACAAAATTGAAATGGAAAAATGGTAATATTTCTTAGTCTTGTATGATTGTAATTATTTTACACTACAATAATTGAACCTCATAAAAATCCACATATTTAGTCTAAACAATTATATTTGTGTTTCCAGTCAAAAATTGAAATGTTAGATTCCTTGTTAGAAATTGAATTCGCATACAGCTTGCTTAACGATGACGGCACCACATCAACAGCCAATAAAGATCCCGTGGATGAACATTATGAGAAACTCAAAACTGACATTGAAGTCCTTGACCCGAAAAGTGAAGAATTTCAAACTGTTCAAACATATCTTAAGAATACTCATGCAAGTACCCATAATCATTATGGATTGAAACTTAAAGATGTAAGTAATATATTATTAATCATTCACTATATGTCGAATATACTTCTTGAAATTAAAACTTTTGTTGTGCTAAATTTTAAAATTTTTTGATTGAATGCTCAATTTTTGATTAAGACTAATTTTGTTAATCTTGATCTTATCACAAATTATTGATAACGAATATTATTAGCATATATCCTCTTATTTGAAATGTATTATTTATGATTTTTTAAATGATCATACTGTGTATGACTTACAGTAGATAACTCCTTAAATTTCATTTTATTAATTCACTATTAATGTCAAAAATTATTTTCACTTTTAATTTTATCAGAAATATTTAGATTTGTTTAAAATTAATGTTATCGATGACAGCGCATAATTCCAGGCAATATCCAATTAGACAGAGCTTGCTAAAGGCTTGGTTTCTTAGGACTGGATGCCGTCAGCTGGAAATCAGCACTATCCTCTGATTGGTCAATTTGTGAGTTTGATAGTATACGTCATCGGACGATCATCTTTAACTACAATTGCCATCCAACTCAACTTCAGTTGGATTACAACTTGACGTTAACCACAGAAGCAATGGTGGACAGCTTCCAACAGCACATTGAAATCATCCAAGATTTTGATTTTGACCTTAAACATAGCTTCTTCATTAAACATAGCACTCTTCATTTAGCTCAGCTATAATGTGTTTTTTCTTGGACAAAGTCATTATTTGTTCTCTAAAACACTGGTCGACCAAAGCAAAATCAATACAAATTCAAAATAAATATTTGTTTACATTATTAACTCATGCGCAGTGGGAGATAATGTCTGCGTTGGACCGACTGTTCACGCTGAGCTAACAAAAAAGTATTTTTTCGGCGTCAGCTCTACGTCAACTTTCCGCTGGCACCCAGATAAGGCGCTTGTCCTAAGAAACCAGACCTTAAAGTGGATCTCGCAATGGACTGATTGTAAAGATGCAGCTCCCTATAGAACACCTAAGTCCACCACCATTGGTTGCAATTAGTTAGCGAGTGGATGATTGCTTTGATATGTCTGCACATGGGCTGAGTATCGGTCCTCATTAATTACCGTTAACTATCGGTCCTCATTAACTATGTTCTACCGTAAAAGTGCTTAACTTCACATTCAGGGCATAAGGCCTCCAAAGGGAAGAAGCCTCCTTCACTGCTGCAGAGGAACGAAATTGTAATGGCGTGTATTCAGATCATCCTCTAGGATGTTGCTAATAGCCCACTGGGCAACTCTAGTGTGAGGTAGTTAAAGACTTCTACACGCCAAAGTGGGCCCACTAGAATTAATCTACTTTTTCTAAAAATGGGTATTTTCAAAATTTTCACTTCTAAATACTTGTAAATTATTGTCATTTAAGCAAAGACTTCCAAACAACTGAAGATAAATTAATTTGATAAATATAAATTGAAATCCATTCAACTTGTTTTAAGAGCATACAGACCTGCCTCTAGATGGAAAAATGAAGCAGTTGTTTCTATAAAGGGGATTGGAGCTCGTAAAACCTAACATGTTTTCAATTTATGTTAAATTATTATGTTTCAATTATAAAATTAACGTAACTAGTGTTTAACAATGGAATTTAATTGTAATTAGATCAAACTCCTTCATTTATGAAAAATTATTGAATTTTCTTAAACAAACTCTATGATATAATTTATAAATTAAGTTTATACATTTTTATAGAACATAAAAACTGCTGTTATTTTATTTAGTATTATCTATGAAGCTAATAAATGATAATTTTTTTTTAATTGCAAGAAAAGAATTAGTCTTAGAATATTTCCTTAATAAGTAAAGTTAAATGCTGAAATTGAAGTTCAAAATTTTTTTCTTCTTATTTATTAAAATAACATGATGAAAGAAGTTAAGGGGGGGGGGAATTATAGATGAACAAGTTTTTATATTTTACAGCTATGGAAGCACTAAATTTTTAATTATAGAAACAAAATTTTTAATTATTTGGTTAGGTCAAATAAATTTCTTTTTTCTGCTAATAAAAAATGGTTCATTTATAAGGGTATATTAGAAAAATAATTGCTCAGAAAATGAATAAGAATTATATATGAGATTTTTCTTTACTATGTCATGTTAAATTAAGTCTTATTTTATGTACATATAGGTCCTACTAATATCCAGGCATCATAAATCATTGCACTTTTTTTATTAGGCTTAGTTTAATACTATTTAGATTTATTGCAATAAATATTTTCCTTAAAATTTTTATGAGATTAAAAAAAAAAGCAATTATGCTTAAGGCACATAAGTTTATATAATGACAATTTATGAGTGCAACTAATATCCAAAATGCTTTGCTTGTCATAGTAACATCCTAAATAAAATAGTCTAAAATTATTTTTCAATGTTATCAACCTATTCCTACTGAGTATAAAATACCTATAAATTATTTATTTATTCATATTTTAAGTGTATATAATCCAAATATCTATCATTTCTTAAAATTATACTTCACTATTATTATGTTTTATTTTTATTCCAAATTAAAGACTTAAAACTAAAAGTAGTATTTTATTAAATAGGAATTTATTAAAATAATAATAATAATAACTATGTTATGAGGCAACTGGACAAATTGATTAAGTTTAAATTTTATTTCAATAAATTCTGGACCTAAGTCTATGTTAATATAATAAAAATATGCAGATTTTTTAATTGAGTATGAGAATTTTATTTTTTGTGCAACAATCTGTTTTGTCATTTAGAAATAAAAATAATTGCATAGCAATCTAAAATCTAACAGGAAAAGGTTACATTGCAACAAAATAAGTTTTAAATATTTAACTTACTTCGTAGAAGCAAATCTTGGAATTTCATTAAGGACTCAGGAATAAAAATCTAATAAAATAGGTGATGGCACACTACAGGAAAGGAACTTTTTTTTAAGATGAATTTATCAGCTTCTACTGTGTGTCACTTGCAGTAGACTACTCCAACACACAGTAAAGACCTTATAGTTAAGTTACTATATAAGATGATTTATGAAACTATTTTTTACTCTTTATATTCCTTGTGAATAATTGTTTTTGAATTAAATCACATTCAAATTTTTCACATAAATATTTAAGAAAATTTGTTTTTACAATATTTTTCATTCATATTTTTAAGGTTTTCAAAATAAATCGCCATGGTGAAGAAGAAAGATATAAAGAATTTAAAAATCTACATAATAAGAAGTTGCTATGGCACGGTTCCAGACTTACAAATTTTGTTGGTATTTTGTCCCAAGGGTTAAGAATTGCACCTCCTGAAGCACCAGCAGTAAGTTGTAGTTTTTTCTTTATTTCAAGACTATGATGTAAATTATATGTTGTATGCTTTTGTCATTCTAGATAGTTTATTTAAGATTACTGTTGGCTGCATTTTTAAATCATAAGTGCATTGTTTAAATTATGGTAATTTCACACCAACAAAATCACATTTATTTTTGGCTTATTAACAGAACTAGCAAAATGGTTTAAAAAAATACCAACTTTGCACTATTTGCATCATATATTTTTTTTTTAAATTTTGAAAATTCTTAAATTTTTTACAGTTTTGTAATTTTTAAACTGCTGTGAATTAAGAATTATTTTTGTTACTCTGTCCAGCCTTTAATGGTATTTTAGAAAATAAAATTTAAGTTATTTAAAAAAAAAAAAAGCTTTCTGAGAATTGGAAGCTTTAATTTTTCGTGGAAGAATAATTTTTTGAATTCCTTTTCAGCAATTTTTGTACCAAATATCAAGAATGTATTCTTATTATATCATAAAAGAAAACATAATTTATTGTCTAAAAGTGGAAAACCATGCAGATATGCTATTTTAATTACTGTTCTGGTAAAAAAGTAACATATTCTTGCAATGTTATGTTCTATGTTAAATAATGTTTTAATTTTATGAACTAAAATCATACTATACTTAAATAAAATAAGGATTTTAAAAACTACATGGAAATCAGGGCAATAACTTCTGAAATTTTTTTTCAACAAATCATTTGAATTTTAGATGAATTCTCGATAATCAAAAGTGCCAAAAGCAATATATTAAAATTTTTGGGACTTTATAATATTGCACTAATATATATATTTAAAAGGTTATTCCATCATACTCAAATACAGTAGGAAAAATTATATAACGCTTTGACATTCTTTTCAAACTTGCAAATAATTTGCTGCTAAGTATTGCTGTTCATAGTTTTCACCTTTTTGAACTTTTCTATACTGATTTAAATGTTTTGCCAATGAAATATGCCTCTGTAAATTCTTTTTCCTCCCCAAATTTATTGAACATGCATCAAACTTGATATTGAAAAATCTATATTTATCTGTTTATTTTAGACTGGTTATATGTTTGGAAAAGGAGTTTACTTTGCTGATATGGTTTCCAAAAGTGCTAACTACTGTTATACAAGTCAACAAAGTTCTACTGGTCTTTTACTCCTATGTGAAGTTGCCCTAGGGAATATGTAAGTAATAATTAACCCGGGATGTGTGCAGTTAGAAATATTTATGCTCTAAGTGTTGAGAATACTAATTTATTTATCTCCTACAGGTATGAGAAATTGAATTCTGAATATGTGACGAAGTTGCCAAAAGACAAGCATAGTACCAAAGGTAAGGCTTTAAAAAAAAGTTTCAAATGTGCTGTTTAAGCAGAAATTTAATTATTTGTCTCGTGACTAAATATTTAGTGCATGTCACATTTCTTCCATAAACTCAAAAATAATAAACAAATTTTTGTTAAAGGAAGAAATGCAATATGTGCTAAATTAACAAACTTTTTTAAAACAATTAGTGAATATAAAAAATACTAGCATAAAAACTATTATTAAAAAGATTTTAAAAAAAACTCATATTTTTTTTACTGATAAGGACACTTATTAACAAAAATGTTGTTAAATAAACTCATGGAATGTATTGTCTCGAATATTGGAATATTGTCTCGAAGGCTAGGAAGCGCCTAAATATTATTAAGTGTATCGCTGGTAGGGATTGGGGAGCAGATGCAACTACTCTTAGGACTTCCTACCAGGCTCTTGTTAGACCAATTCTTGAATATGGCTATCCTGTCTACTGCTGTGCTTCTCAATCTAACTTAAACAAATTGGAAAAGGTTCAACTGAGCGCCGCTCGCATCATCACTGGACTGAAACGTAGCTGCCCTTCAGAGATCGTTCTTTACGAAGCAGATCTGCAACCTCTTAACTTCAGAAGGCAAGCTAATTTAGTGAAATATTACAATAAACTTTCCAGTTTAGACCAAGGCAATTTAACTGCTATTTACCTAAATAATTGGACCTGCAATCAAAGGCTAAAGAAAAACAGTCCTTTTAGTCATGTTAAATCACAACTGTTAATCGCTGAAAATATTGAACCTCTTTATCTTCATAGCAATCTTAGTACTTGCTTGGATCTTTCCAATGTTAGTTTCCATGAAAGCCTCCCTACCATGCTTGACAAGAAAGACTGTGTGCCTGACTTCCTCAGACAATTGTCCCTGGAAATCATCAATAAAATCCCTCCAAACGACATCAAAATATTCTCTGATGGCAGTAAAATGGATAGACAGACTGGCAGTGGGGTATTTATTGAAACACCTCGAGAGAACTACACTCTTCATCAACGAAACCCCGATTTTTGCTCCGTCTTTCGAAGCGAACTAATTGCAATCGACAGGGGACTAGAGAAAATCTTGAGTGAAGGGCACCTTGGAAATACTTGGATACTATCTGACAGCCGTAGTTCAATTCAACACCTCAAAAATTGGGCCCTCATTGGAGATAAAACCAGTTTTTCGATCTTACAAAAAGTAAAGCTCATTTCCCAACAGCATGAGGTCCACTTTCAATGGATCCCGTCCCACGTCGATATCCACGGCAACGAGTTGGCTGACACTCTTGCAAAGAAGGGACTAGACCATCCAGTCCCCTCCACCTCAGAGCTTACATACCTTGAACTTTTTGCAAGGCAAAAGGCCCAGAACAAACAAAAGTGGCTGCTTCCACCTATTCACTACTGGTATAAAGCAAAAAGACCAGGACTCTCTCTATCTCTCCCTGGTGACAGGCAAACCAACACCTGCTTATCCCGACTGGCCAGTGGACACCTGAAAAGTCTCACATTTTCTGCAAATCAAAAAATCTTTCCTCTTTGCCCTAAATGCCAACAAAACCAGGCATCACCTGAGCACATCTTGAACTGTTTAGGGCTGGATTGAAACGACATTCATTCCTCTCCCATTCTGGTTTCGGATTTTCTTAATATCAACGGATTCATTGATCTGGTCTGACCCCGTCAGACCAGATGGGAATTAGCAACAACAACAACAAATCTCAACTGGATTGTGTGAAAAAATGTCTTCATTATAACAATAAAGAAAAGATTGCTTCAATTTGACTAAGTCTTTAATAACATCTACCGTATATTCCGGCGTATAACGCGCCCCGGCGTATAACGCGCGCCCGTAATTTCTAATACTTTTTTTAAATTTTAAGATATACTCTTCCCAAATGTAATTTTCCAAAAGGTATTTTTGTTCATGTCCACGAAAAAGGCTGGATGGACGAAAATTGTACTGAATTGTGGGTAAAAAATGACTGGCAAATCCGTCCTGGTTGCGTAAGAAAACCGGAAAACCTTTTAGTGTGGGACATGTTTAGGTTCCACCTTACAGATAATACAAAAAAATTGTTGAAAGAATGTAACACCGATATAGCAGTTATTCCGGGCGGATTGACACCATTAGTATTGGACGTCTGCTTAAACAAACCATTTAAAGCCTATTTAAAAAAACAGTGGAACACTTGGATGTTGGAGGGCAAGAAAACCTTTACGAAAGGAGGACATATGCGTCATGCAAGTTTGGAAACAGTGTGTGAATGGATATTAAAAGCATGGGATGAAATTAAAGCCTGAGATGGTTAGAAAATCATTAAAAAAATGCAGCATTTCAAATCATCTGGACGGATCAGAAGATGACTGTTTATTTATGGATGAGGGTAACACAGATGATGAAGACGAAACAGATTGTGATGACGTGCCTGAAGAAATAAAGGAAGTCTAATATAATGAATTACTTATGTAATAACGAAAATCAATAAAGTATATAGGTAAAGGTATGTTATTTCTCTAAAATAAAAGTATTTTTCTATATTTAAATTTTTTAATCTATAATTTTTTATATTCGGTGTATACCTCGCAGCGCACCCGTAAATTCCAATGTTATTTTTTGTATTAAAAGTGCGCGTTATACGCCAGAATATACGGTATCTCTATCAAAATCAACAGTTGTCACTACTGTTCAGGGTGTTCACCATTTTTGTTATGTTATTTTGTTTCACTTCTCAAAATCTACTTTACTTTCAGGTTAGGAATGTGTGTACAAAATACCATTCTGCAATACGACATAAGTTGAAATTCTGATTAACAATAAGCTGAAAAAGTTAAAATTCTGATTATTAGTTTGATTTAATCTGGTTTTAAAGTTAAATGTGGAAAAAAGCATTTTATGAGTTTAAAGCAAATCTTTTTTTATGTACCAGTTTTTTTTTTTTTTGAAAGAAAAAACATTTTTAAAGCATTTTAGGACAATTAAGCAATTTTTATATGAAGCAATGTTTATTGGAGGGCCAGTAACTGTAAAAATTTGGAGGAAAGCTTTATAATTATAAAATAATTCTAATGGAAAAAATTAAAGTTCCTTTTCTTCCCCCTGCAGTATTGACTCACAAATAAAGAAAAAATGTGTTTGTAGTAAAAGTAAGAGGTAATGGTAAAATCAATTTGAGTTTCGAAAACCAACTTTAAACATAAATATGTTAGCTCTTCTAACTGTCTGTTTGAAATTGTCTGTTAAAAGAACTATATTATTTTATTATTTAATTTAATAATTTGTTGTAAAAAAGTATAGAGTTTGAAAAATAGAGTCATCACAATTATGGACCTCCAAAAATTAGAACAGGTATATGAAATGAAATAAAAGTTTAGACTTAGAAAAAAAATATTAATGAAATTTTGAACCCCACCCTTTTTTTTTTAACTTCACCAAAAAGGTATTGTTAAAAATTTTATTTTATTGAAGATAGTAACTAACGTTTAGTTATTTTTTTGCAGGTTTAGGACAAACTGTGCCAGATCCAAGTGATAAAACCATGATAGGTGATGTAGAAGTTCCTTATGGTAAACCTGCTCCAAGTGGCATTCAAAGAAGTGCACTTTTGTACAATGAGTATCCTTTATATAATTTTTAAATCATTTAATATAAATTAATCTGAACTATTATTTTTAAAAAAATATCCTATCTATATAATGAATATACTGGTTCGGAAGTAATTAAAGCAAAATATTGTGATTTTGTTATTTTTAATTAAAATCACTTGATGCTTTTATATCAGTAAGTCTCTATATTTAGTCTTCCAACAATTAATTCTAAATCAGAATGAAAAAGTGTATCTTTATTTTGACAAGCCATTTTCTATTTATTAATATTTGTTTTATTACTATCTGTTTATTAGTTTATATGTATAACATAAGTTATACATATAAACATATGTTTATATGCATATATATGTTTATATATGACTTGTAGGTCCAACAAAGAGTTAAAAGAAACAGTAAGTACCAGATAAGATTCTAAAATGTCCTATTAAGTAGGCAATTCTTGCATCTAATATGATAGCTTTAAATAAAATTATTAGAGTAAAGGGTAATTGTATTCCAGTTTTTTCGTACTATCCTTCCGGTTTTAAAATCTAGGAACAGGGCATATGACTTTTCTATTGATTCACAAACTTCCTAATCAAAATCTTGTATTCAGGGTTGTCATAGGCAACTAAAATGCGACTATTTTCGGCCTGAGGTGGCTGGCAACTTTCCTGTACCCCTACCGATGTTTTGGGTTGACAACCTCCGATGCGAGGGAGTTGCATAACACAATTAACTTCATTTTTTAAAAAATAAAATAGAAATTGAATATTTTAAATTGCAAATTTGAGTCATCAGTTTTTAATTCGCTTAATTTACGGAGATTCCATAGTAAATATGCTTTGTTTTTTTATCGTCTTAATGTGTATTGGCCTGGAAAATTCAAGGGAAAAATTAAATCTTTTTGAGCTGGACCCTGTATAAAAACAATTTTACCTCTTCCCTGCACAGAGCATTACATATAGAATTCAATCTTTGCAATTTAAAAAAATAAAAAAGACTTATAGTTTGTCTTCAGTAAGAACTCCCTCCGCCACAAAGTCTGAAGCCGTTTGCTGCTACGGTAACAAGAATAACGCATTGCAGAGAGGGGAGCTTCTCTTCACTCTCGGGTTAGCACGAGACCAGAGAAAGGGATCACCTTTCTCTTGCCAAATGGAGCCAAAACCTGTCCTAAACAATGACCCCGCACCCCAACTTGGAATAGTTATATCTTGTTACCTTAGTCACCGCCACCTGTCTTGGCAAATGGTTTAGGCAAACTATAAAGAGTGACCATTTAGTTTGTAATTGTAAGTAAGTGACTTTTCCCCATCTAAAAAACTTCAATTTGGATTACCGAGATCAATTTGGATCCTAATTACAGTTTTGAAGATTCTTGTCCTTTTGCTGTGTTATTTAAAACCTGTTTAATCTTTCTTTTTTATTATTTTTCCTTCATGAACAGTGGAGCAAATAAGCGAGGATTAATTTTTCCATATGATAAATCTTTTGTTTGAAATGCTTGATAATTCCTTAATTTTTATTAGATATATTGTGTATAACGTCAACCAAGTAAACATCAAGTATTTGTTGAATGTTGATTTCAAATGGAAGTATTGAGCTTGCTAAAGAAAAATTTTATGAGTACCTGAGAAAAGACTGTTAATTTGTTGCAGCTGTGTTTTATTTGTGATATTGAAAATATTATCGGGAATAAATGTTTTTTTTTTACAAAGCTGTGATTATTCATCATTTTAATGCATTGAACGTCAGTGGAAACTATTAAAATTAATTGTTTTGACACTAAAGCATATGAAAATCAAATGTGTTCACATTTTTGGGAATATTTTTTTTTTGCGACTCAATATTTGTGAGATAAGTAAAAAAAAAAAATTTAAAAAAACCACTTAAGGGATCCTGTCTGTATCAAAACTGCAGAATCATTAGTTTTTAAAATTAGTATTTCATTAATGTAATTTGAATATAAATAAGCTTAATTTTTTAATGTATGCTCTGTCAATGATGCCAACTGTGCGATCAGCGAACGTTTCAAGCTAAAATTCTTGTTTTAATTACACCTGTATGCTGAAGGAACTGACAGCCGCTAGGTAATGAGGTTATCGAACACAGCGTCATATTACGTCTTTTTTAGTTATTTGTCATGGTTTGCAGTTTGCATGTATTTTTTCTATACGAGAATATCATAACAGTTTACTTTTTGTTATGCTTTGTTGGCATAAACAGTATGTAAGAGTTTAAATAGAATTGTCTCTAATACTTAGGTGTTTATTACTACCATTTGATTTTTTTTCCTGTTAATTTGTGTCTTCACTATGGTTGACCAGCCATACTGGCGAAGTTCGTCAGGATCCATTTGGATCCCCCGCAGAAACTCCTCTATTCCATAGAGATTATTGGTGTGGCCAAAGCTGTTTTAGATACTTTTAGACAAATTTAATTTTCTTTGCACTACTGGACAAGACAACAACAACTATGGTTGTCTTGTATTCATTATCCTGAGTTAATGATTTAGTCCTGTCACCATGCTTTTTATGCACATTATCCTTTTCATCATTAAAATAATGTTCAAGTTAACGTAAGTGTCTGAAGTTCTGATTAGTGAGTCCAATTTTGTTAAGTCAGTCTTCAGCAAATGGAACCCTTCGTACCCTATGTACTCTTCGCAATCAGAGCACTGATGTTTTTGGATAAAGCGAGAGACAAGCAAAAGAAAAACTAGTGCAGTGGGTATGTATATTATAATTTAAGTATTTTATTTGAAAACTAACCATAATAATATCATTGCAACATACTAATTGACAAGTTTTTATTTGATTGTTCAGTTAATAATTAGAATACAAAGATAAAATCAATCACATCATAAAATCAAAATTTTTAATTGGAAAAAAAAAATTTACATCACAGATATTAGTACAAAAATACATCAAAATCCTTAAATACATTTGCCCATCTAAAATACTAAAATTATGGAAGTTGAAAGAGGTGTTTGCTGTAACAACAGAAAGTAGCCAGTAAAACTGTTTGATAATATTCTTCTGTAGAAGAAAATTAAAATTTATGAAGCACAAATCGCTGATAATTGATTTTTTGAAAACTTATGGCATTTTTAAAACGGTTTCATTGGCTTTTTTTTTATTATAATCCAAAGCATTTTTTATTTCTTAAAAATGTAACCGTAATTCTTTTAAAACTAAATATTATAACCATTGTGATAATAACACATTTATTTCACAGCCAAGCCTTTAGAAATGATACAAAACTAATTAGTTCCTTATTAAATATTTCATTAACATTCTTCTTCCCTTTTTTGTTTTAATTTGAAAAGCGTGATAGGAAATACTGATGCTTCGAAATACTGTTGCAATATTTTATAAATGTTTAGTTTTTTCAAAATTTGTTCAGTATATTGTTATTAGAAATATTATTTTTTTTTAAAGTGCTTTTTCCATTTCATGGACTTTTTACTTAAAATAATTTCATAAAGACAACGTAAAGAGTAATTAAATTATGAATTATAAGTTGTATCTAAATATAATCAGAGGTTTCAAAACTCGTCACTAGTTATAAACAGTACTAATTCAAGAAACCTTCACTCTACCACGGGACCCTAGAGTTTTGCGGAACACCATTTTGGAACCGCTGGTTTAGAAGAAAGTAAACTCATAAATACGATAAAACATTTTTAAAAAATTCAATTGAATAAACTTAACTCTTTTAGTTATTTTTATGTATTACATAAAAACTATACATTTTAAGCTTTAAGATTTCTTTTTTTTTATCATATGATATTTTTTCATTGTAGCTCTTCACATTGTAATCATGAAACAAAATGCACTAGACTCAAAATATAAGATTTATGATACATATTATTGTATATGATATACATATTAAGATATTATTAAAAATAGGTCAGTTTTATGGCACATGAGAATTATGTGCCATAAAACTGACCATTTTGGAATAAAATTTCTTATAATGTTGGATTGCAATTACAAACTCTAACCAACTATGGTAAATCCAATTATTTTTTAAATGAGCAAAAACTATCGTTCCAAGAAGGCAAACAAACAGAAAAAGAAAAAAATTGTTAAAATATTTTTTTTTAAGTGACAAAAATGTATCAAATGTTGTCCTTATAAATTCCCTGTGTCAAGAGGTTATAGAAGAAAAAAAATGAATTCCTTGTACTAACATCTCAGACTTTTGCGACTCATTGGATGCGATGTTTTATGTTTGACATTGCTTACTAAATTCCTCTATCTCTCGGTTCTGTTTTATTAAATATAAAATTATAATTATACTATTTTTGTTTAATATGAAACCACTAAGTGAAAGATTAACGTCAAATGAAAAGAAAGTTTGAATAATATAAACGAAATAATTCGCACACACTATAACAAGATTTTTGTCAGGTGTAAGGTGATGGACCCGTTGTCTTCTTGAACAACACACCGATACTTCGTTAAAAATTTATTCTATACTATCAGAGATGTCAACATTGGTATTTACGCCCATCTCAGTTTTATGGTGATATAGCGAAATAACTATAAGGTCAGCAAATTTTTTTTTAAAAATTTTCTCTGTATTCAAAATTTTATAATCTCATAATCTGAGCTTTCATTTGGTTTGATTTGTTCATAAGTTGTGGTGGTCAAATTTATTGAACCAACAATCTAATGCTAAAGCAAACATTTCGCAACTACTTTGAAAATAGAAGATAGATCTCTTAAACTATGCCTTATCTGCAGAATAGAAGCCTTCGTTTTATCCATAATACAAAATCTATATCGTACACATTGCTAATTTAATTATTTTTACATGAAATGAAATTATCTACTTTTTTTAGTGTTTAAAATAATCTGAGAAGCCATTCTAGATTATCTTTTATGCTAAAATTAAATTGCAATTTTGGAAAGAATATTGCTTTGCCAGAATGAAAGGAATTTCTCTATCTCAAATGAAATAAATAAGTAAAAATAATATTGTAAAACTGAACAACATATTTTGACATGCTAGCAGATAATTTATTTGAACAATTAAAGCGCATAGTGAGTATCTAATTCTAAATGTTTTGGCAAAATAAAGATTTCTCAAGCGAATACAATATTTGAATCTCATTTAACTGTACAACATTAGTTTATTTTGCGAAAACTTGAAATGTCGCAAATCTCAGTAGATGAAAGTGCCCATTAAGAGATACAATAATATTTTTAGTGGATATTAAATTTTTATAATTTTAGAAAGGAATAAGTTCCAAAGTGAATTTTGCGGCAAATAATTAACGAGAAACCTTAGGAAGTCTCTTCTTTCACAGCTAATTCAAAAAATTCATATTAGCACTTAGGGATTTATAGATTTTGAGAAATTAAATACCTCCAGTAAAGTAATAACAAGTCGTAATTTTTATTTTCTATTGTCAACAAATAAACTTTAAAGCTAATTTGCACAAGATTTTCAAATTGTCACTAAGAACATTCATTTTCAAGTGTAACTTAGCTAAAGCTTCAAAGATATTTTAGTACATATCAGCTAGAAAGAAGGCCATAAAGCCAGGGACAATGCCAGATTTTGGTTACATGTTTGGGTTGGCGACAAAGCGGACGCGCAGTTGTCATCACATGGTCTCTATGTCCGTTAAGTATTGTTATTTTTATTTCTGACATATTAGCGTGTCAAAAAATTAAATATATGTAAACCAAATTCCTGATTTATTTTAATAATAATAAACTTCATCATACATTGGTATTCTCTTATATCATGATACATATTTATGAATAATATTAAAAGGTTATTCATTTCTTACTTAACTCTGTTAAATTTTTGATCAAACCTACTTTTCTTAAGGCATCTGGTGCTTTTTCAACTCCTTTTGGCTGTAAGCATGTTAAAAATGAGAGATAAATTTCAATTACATTATTATATTTTCAAAACTTGAATAAAGAATTAACAGCGTTGAACTTAATCGAATAAAAACTTAGTTATTATTTTTTGTCAAATAACTTGGTCATGACAATAAATTGTAACTAATATTTTCAATGGATTTAAAGCAAGTATTACCTTGCTAAATGATCTTTTTGATACACTTATTTGAAAAGATTGCAACAAATATATTTTATTAACTATGTTTGATTAAAATGTATCTACACACATTATTGTATGTCTATTAAATTAAAAACATTGGCATGCCTACTAAAAAGGAAATCCTTAACTTAATGACAAAAATTTTAGTAAAGCTAATTTAAAAAAAGTCTTTGATTGTTAAAATGTTTGTTCTATATAAAAAAAAAAATATTGTGTTCAGTTGGGGCAAGTTTGATTATTCTTAGATTTAAGCAGTTCAATTTTTTAAAGTGTAACTCTATCAAGATTAGTTTCTAAGTTACCATATTTAGATTTATCATTGCTGAATTAGACGATAGGATGTACAATTTCATTTTGCTGACGAATTTAAAATTTGACTTCCTTTGAGGAAACTAAATATAAATATTTTAATTTATAATTAATAGAATTTATATAAGAAGTTTTTGAAATATATTAATGAATGTAACATTCGCATTATTCTATTTTTTATTAATTTTTAGAGTGGTGGCAGCAAAAGACGGAAATTTTTGAAATGTATTAATGAATTTAAAATTTGCTTCTAATTATCAGAATTTGCATTGTTTTATTCTTTATTAATTTTATTAAATGCCGGAATGGTGGCAGCATA